GAAAGGCGAAAACATTACTTCTTCTTGAAGTTTAAGGGTGAGCAAAGAGAGGAGTCAAGGACGCTTTTCCCCAGCGAAGGGAACAGTAGCGGCTCCAGCCTGGGCTTCACTTCTCAGAGCAGACAGGCTGGGATCACCAGGACACGAGGGGCGAGGCCACCGCAGCAAACAGAGCCAGCACAGAAAAGGCCAGGGTGCAGGCTCGCTTGTGCCGGGGAGACAGGCGGGGTGCAGGCCACCCCGGGTGCTGAAGGGCAGGGTGCAGGCCTGCTCAGGTGCTGGAGAGGTGGGTGTGCTGCTCTCTACGCCAGCACCTCCTTTGTCCTGCAGCAGTCACTGCCCAGCCTTTCTCTCCATCTTCTTTGGTTGGGATATGCCCTGGGAGGGATGGGCACAGGACACCACAGGGAGCTGGTGCTCTTGCCTTCTGGAGACTGAGGCAGGCGGGAGGCTGGCTCTCTGCCCGTGAAGCGCAGTCCAACAACCCGCCAGTCAGGTCCGTGCTGCCGAGAACGCTGCAACTCGAGATACAGTCTGCGGCTGTTTCTCACCTGGACCGCCTATGCTGGAAGGGACCCCAGAAAGAAGGGCAGCCATGAAGGAAGTACAACCAAGGAACATGGAAAACCATGGCAAGCTGGCTGGCTTGTCACCTTGGGGCTGCATGACCGGGCGAACGGAAGTCCAGTGATTAACCCCAGCAGGCAGAGTGCAGCTCGAGGCAGGGCATGGCCATGTGGCTGCTGTGGCCAGTGCAGTGTGGCCAGGCTTGCCTCCTGACGCTTCCCCCACTCCGAGGAATCCTCAGCCAGACCCGAGAATGGACACAGAGAAAGAGGCCCGAGGCAGAGCCACCCATGCCAGCCACTGGCCACCTGCAGGGGCACGGGTGGAATGAGCATGTTCGACAGCCGAGACAGGCACCTCGCAGCCACAGCAGCTCACAGCGAGGTGCTCCCAGGACCAGCCTGAGGGCAAGTGACGCTGCTCCTTGGTGGCTGTGGGCTCCAGGCACACAGCAGGCGCTCAGCAAACACCGGCTGCCGTCAGCACTGCATGCTTGTTCTATAAAGCAGTGGCCTAGGAGAAGAAAACAGAAGGGCACACTCATAATCCAGTGATCGAGTGTGTCCCACTTCACATTGTCTATTGCAAGAAAGACCTAGAAGCACATTCCGTGGTCATCCGGGCTCAGAGCGTGGATGATGGCCAGGACTGCCTGGGTCTGGATTTGGGCTTCACGAATCACCAGCAGCTGAGCTGGGGACACGTGTCTCTGTCTCCCTGTCCTCCTCCTCTGCTCAATGGCGCTGTCAGCAGTACCTACCACACAGGACAGTATGTGGGCTGTCTCAAGCGCCCCCAGCCTCCTGGACGCTGAAGATGCTGCACCAGCATTTTCTGTCATTGTCATCTGCATAAAAGTGAGTTTGAAAAGGTTACTCCAGCCATAGTACACCCACTCCTCCATCACCTATTTCTGCCCTCACTTCTGCTGTCTCTACACACAATCTTCCCATGTCCAGGATGCTGAGTGCCAGTGTCCACACACCCCACATCTCCCCTTCAGCTACCATTTCTGCGAACTGCTGGTTTTGCTTTCATGCGAATATCATCTGCCCCTTCTCCACCTGTCAAGCCGTATTTGATCCTCAGCGTTCAGACTTCGCGCCACTTCTTCCACGAAACCTGTCTGATCTTCCCTCCCAGCGTGATCTTGTTCCTGACCTTCCCAGCAATCCAGCTCTACCTCAGTTGCACTTCTATGATGTTCTACTTACACCTTCTCATGATGAGACCGTAAGGCCAGAGGACAAGACCACCATCCCCAGGCTTTCTGCCCATTCCCACCCACAGGCATACCGCAGGCAAGCAATAAATATTTGAATGCATATATCTGAAAAGCCCAGAGAGACAGGCTCATTTCAAGTATAAAACAGCTTACTGAAAAGTCTTTATGTTTTTGTTTTTTTTTTTTGAGCTGGAGTCTCACTCTGTCACCCAGACTGGAGTACAGTGGCCGCTCCCAGCCACCGCAGCCTCGATCTGCTGGGCTCCGGCGATCCTTCCACCTCAGCCTTCCGAGTAGCCGGAATTACAGGCATGCGCCACCACGCCTGGCTGATTTTTTGATTTATTGTAGAGATGAGGTCTCGCCGCCCAGGCGAGTCTCGAACCCGCGGGCTCAGGCAATCCACTCACCTCAGCCTCCCACCGAGCCTGGCTAGTCTTTATGTTTTTAAAAGAAAGGTAAACACTAGTTAGACAGTTTAAAGGGAAGGAGTTACCATGTCATCAGAGACAGACACTTGGTTTATTGCATTAAAAAACTTTATTTCTTTTAAAAGGTCCAAGATAAGCCAAATTAAACCCCAAATTTACAGCTACACATAGAGATCTCCTGAACTAAATGGCACTGCTTGGACTGAGTGTCTTGTTAGAGGGGGCCATTTGTGAACACCATTTCCCCAAAGTCATTCTTTACACACACGTCAGCTTGGATGTCGCCTGAAGGTAAGGAAAGCCGAGAGGCTTTCGGTTCTGCGTGAGGATACACACACCACAGATTAGGGCCCGGGTGCTTCTGACGCACAAGGTGCAGCCATAAAGGAACACACTCTGCCGGATGCGCCCAGTCAAGGAGGCCATGCACGAACTCCAAGGACACTGGTGCTGTTCAAACACCATTCGGGACAGTACTCTGGGATTTCCCCTCACTGACTGCAGACCGAAGAAGTGGCTGATCAAGCTGGGGAACAGGCCATTACCAGTGTGATTAAAAAGCCAGAGCATCGTTTCTGCAGTGGGCTGGTAATCTCAAGAACCGTCTTCAAATGTTTGGGTAACAGCATCATTTACACGTAAGCAACACAGGACGAAGCTCTGGCGTGTGTGAGGATACATGGAACACTGCATGTTACTTTATAGCTACACCTTGGCCTTCATCAAATGTGGGTTATCTACAGTGTGTCCAACAAGTCCTTCCAGAAGCCACTTCAGTAGGGGCGTCACACAGCCGGTGAGGGAGAAGACACGGCAGAGCACGCGAGACACAGCTTTGTGACGTCCTCGGGTGCCCTCAGAGGATGTCCCCGGGCCAGGACAAGGCCCCGGTGGGGAGCTCCAACTCATCTCATCCAAGGAAGACCTTGCTCACCGCTAGAGCGGCTCAACTGACGGACTGCGTGGTGAGGTAGAGTCACGGCCAGTGTTTGGGTGGAAAGGCCGCCCTTACGGAAGGGACTCCTGCGTCTGGTAAGAGGCTAGAGAGTGGAGGAACCTCAGGTCTCTTTCAATGCTGAGATTCTAGAAAATTCCCTCAGAGAATTCAGAAGAGAATTCCTAAAAGGAAAGGGAAAGCACACGTATATACTTTTAGAATCCACTTGAATTTTCTTCTTTTCAAAAGATACAATAGAAAAAGTAGTCCACTGTCTTCAAAATGCATATTCGCCTTCCTGGCACTTAATAATCAGGAAGGGTTCTTTGTGACTTCTTTACAGTATAAAGAAAGACGGGGGATTAGATTTATCATTTTTTGTAAATATTTTAGAAAAATGCTTAAAATCTAGTAGTCAATGCCCTAGAAACTTTATAGATTTTTAGGTAATATGCACAGATACAAATACATTATTCATTAAATACAACTCACATCTGTGTTTATTATACTCTAAAATATACAGGAATCTGGGTGTACTGAAAGAGTGCAAGTAGATACAGTATTCAAGCAGTCACTATTTCTATGTACATGCTTGTTAATTCTTCAAAAACCCACAAAATTATCAAATAGATCAAAATACTGTTGTGTTTTCACACTCTATATTCAGAAAAGCCAGCTGATAATTTACAGTGTCATAAAGTTCCAGTTTCACAATACAAACAGGATTAAATGGAACTAGGGTCGTTGTGTTGCGATTTATGGAACTTCACTCAGACCTGCACAACCCTCGATGCACATGAAATCGTTTTCCCTGGGAGAGTGACCGTTACAGTAAAAGTAGAACCTCGTAAAGCATTATTTAAGAGCCGAAATGCCGGCTTTGCCTCTCTTTTTGATATGTGAAAGGTAGTCTTCAATGTGGCAGGCTACTGGGTTCTTTCCCATAGTGACAGGTTACAAACACGCTACTTCAAATCTGGCTGAGATCCATATTTTAGGTCTTGCCCGAGACAGCAATGTCTTCCAGGAGACCCAATGATGCTTAACTCGCGAATTGACTCATCCCTTTCCAAAACCCGAAGGTCAAAATAAGCAACACTAAAACCCCCAACCCACCGGGGGGCACGAGGTCACACAGATGACCAAGGTGTGCCACCCAGCACAGAGACGTTGAAGACTCCTTGCCCCAGGACCACGTGGCTGCAACAGGGTGAAATAGTTTACGTTTTGATTTCATGATTTTTTTCTAGGACACTCCTGACATTTTTGAACAAAAATAGTTTAATTTTTTTAAGCCCAAACTGTTTAAAACAGGGCAACGACCTGACCCCAATCCACTTCGACATCTGTATCGCAAGTGCTTCCACGCAACGGCATTCCATTAAAAGCCTGTAAGTTATTTGGTCCTTTGGCAATTGGTTGTGCACATACTGCGTACTGCACCACACTTTTATTGCCTTGAACTTAGCCGCAATCTTACTGATGAGATGAACCCCAGTGTCCTTATTTCCTCCTCTGCAAGTGCGGCTTGTGTGAGCAGGCTGGGTGCGTCGTGTCCCCATTTATTCCTGCCACCGCAAAACCAAACGAAGCGATCCCACAAAGCATCTGACGTCACTGTGTTCCTCTGGTCAAGTCTACTTCGAGATTCTGGAGGTTCCTTTTGTGAGGCTTGCCTTTGAGCTCTTCTTCCTGACAGCAGCACGTCTCTTGCATGGGCTCCCTGCGGACCTGTCCTTGTGGGCTGGACTCGGGTGTGAGTGTGAAAGGGTCTTTTCCTTTCCGGGAAAGCACAGCCAGAGGCGTCAGTGAGAGCCTCCCCTGCAGGCCCTGCCCGCGCTCAGTAGGTCTCAGAGTCGGAGTCGTTGAGCTCGTCCACGTCTGTGTACAGGCACTCTGGCTCCCCGCTGAGGTTGTTGAAGCTGCAGTAGGTGCTGGGCTCGTGGCGCATGATGGGCAGCGCCTCGAAGCTGACTGTTTTCGAGGTGTTGGTGTAACGGCTGATGGCACTGAATGTCAGGGAGGACAGAGGGCTGCTTGAGGAGACAGGCATCATGGTGGCCAGGATGAGGGCCAGGCAGTCGGCGACGTCCTTGTTGGGAGCACAGGCCAAAGCTGGGGTGTAGCCTGGAATTGAAGGCGAGATGGGAAAATTAACCACTGGAGGCTGACTCTACTCCTTGTGAGAAAACAAGCCTAAAGGACTTCAGCTTCAGGCACAGCATCAGTTGCTTAGTCTATAACACTGATTGTTTTAACCAGAGTGGCTCACAGGTTTCCAAGAAGGAGAAAAACAGCCACCGAAGTCTAGGGTGGAAGGAGACTTAAGAGCGGGTACCAAAAGAGGAAACTGAGGCCCAGAGAAGACCACTTCCTCCCGACCTCACAGCTTATTCACATCCTCTGGAGTTGTAGAAGATGCGGGGCTCGGCTGGGCTCGGGGGCTCAGCCTGCAAGGCCAGCGCCTTGGGAGGCCGAGGCGAGTGGATGGCCTGAGCCCATAGGTCTGAGACCAGCCCAGGCAACTTGGTGAGACTCGACTCTACAGTTCAAAAAAAAAATCAAAATGTTAGCCGGGCGTGGTTGCACATGCCTGGAGTTCCAGCTGCTTGGAAGACTGAGGCAGAAGGACCGCTGGAGCCCAGCCGGTCGGTGCTGGGGTGGCAGTGAGCATGCCACTACACTCCAGCCTGGACGGCAGAGTGAGACTCCAACTCAAAAAAAAAAAAAAAAAGATGATGATGATGATACTGGGCTAGAATTAAAAAAAACCCCATAGATCGAGAAATCTTTCAGAACGGCGAACAGAGACTTAACTGTTAGTTGGTAGCTATGTAAGCACACCCTTCCATGCCAAGAAGGCTACATGTGCACAGGTCCAGGAAGGAGTCACCAAGCAGAGGCTCTCAAGAGATGTCCAGAATGAGCAACACCTGGCTGTCAACTGGACTTTTCTCCTGGGGTCACAGTCCGTTTGGAAAAAACAGTAGCTACACGAAAGAAGTGAACTTTAAAAACCATTACACCAAGACGAGTATTTCCTCTGTGAATACTCCTTTCTGTAGCAGAAACAGCCTGACCTTAGGCAGAAAGCCCACAACCTGCACCCTGAGCAGGTGACACATGGCCCCCAGCTGGTGCCAGACCCGGCTGGAGGGTGGAGAGGGAGAGAAGATGGCGAGAACCCAGCGGGACCCTGCGTCCCAATCATACTGCATGGAACTCTATAAAGTCACTCATACTCATCATTTTAGGCCTTGTGAAAGGAACCACAGGTGACTGGGTGCACACGACAAAGTCCTGGCCCACAGCTTTACTTGCTGCAGCCCAGTCAGGCAGTGCTCCCCTATGACTGCACTCGCCTAGTCTCAACCTCACACGTATATACTTATGCGAACAGCCCCATGTTTTCAAGCAGCTGGGTGGTTTTTCACAAAACACACACTCGCGTCAGCCCCACCCGGTAAAACAGTCTGTGCTAGCCCACCAGAAGCCCTGCTGGCCCCAGCCCGGATGCCCTCCTCCCTGCCCACAGGAAATGCCATCCTTGTTCCCTTTCCACCAGTCGCCACAAGCACTGCTGTTTGGTTCTGGCGTTCTGGGGGAGCCTAATGTAATGGGAATGATGTCGCGTGCACCACTTCATGTCTAACTTCTTCTGTGGAGCGGTCTGTGCACGAGACTGGTGACCGGTGCGCTCCTTCCTGCTGCGCTTCGTCATTTCATTGTGATCGCGCCCTGGGCAGGCACACGTTTCCACCCTGGGCATGTGGCGTGCCAATTCTCCTATAGATCTTCATCTGTGCCACCGCAGCCTTGATGAGGGAAAAATACCAACTGATGTCTCTGCAAACCTGGCAGGAGTGGCTGAAGGGCACCCCTAGTTTCAACTGAATCGCTCACAGGAAGAGGACAGTGTTTCCCACCCCTCCAACCCCCCGGGCTCCTTGGAAGGTCAGCTGCTGTCGGAGAGGCCAAGCAGCCTTGGGGGAGGTGGGTAGGGAGGAAGCACATCTCGGGAGCGTTTTCCAGCCAGGTTGTGACTCGACGGGCTTCCCTCCTCTGCACAGGGCTCTAACTCGTACCATAACCCCACTGGGAAAGCTCTTCCCCACTTCCGATTTCCTGTGGATTCCGGCTTCTAAGTCACTTTCTCAGGACACCTTCTCTGACCCTGCATGGCGGTCTGAAGACCTTCGTGTCCTCTCAGAGCACTCAAGGCTTGCTCCAATTGAACGACTCTGTGTGCAGCCTGTGCATACTTGCCTCCATTCAAGGAAGTGACCGTCTTACTCCACAGCAGAGCCTCAGGACTCAGCACGGTGCCTGGCATAGTCACCCTGCAACAACGTTCACCAAGCCTCCACTGCATCCCAGCACTTCAAGCACTCAGAACGCATCAGTGTAGCCACCGACTGAGGCCTTGCGTACTTGTGGAGTGTATGTTCATCTCAGCGAGGGAAGACACAAGCAACATGACAGAACAGGACGCTACAGACATGACATTAGAAGCTCTGTGGACAGAGGAAGATGGCCAGCAGAGCAGGTTAAGAACCGGGGCAGGGAGGGATCCCAGCAAGCTGTACAGAGAGAGGGTCAGGTGGGCTTCACGGAGAAGACGGAATCTGAGCTGAGATCTTCATCAGGCAAAGAATGGGGTCACAGGATGCCAGACCAGGAAGAGACCCTGGCATTCGTCCAGCCCAGCCACGGAGGGACCGGCAAGGCCGCGGGAAGTGAGCAGAGGAGGAAGCAGGATCAAGAGGCGAGGGGGTAGAGGGCAGGTCAAACAGAGCCAAGAACCACGAAGGAACCGACATGTTCTCATTTCCTGCTAAAAAGTCCTGGCCAGGATGGGGGCAGGTGAAGGGCAGTCCCTTGGATCCACTCCTGAGGTGCACGCTGACAGACTGCCCACTGGGTGTGAGCGGGAAATCAAGGGCAATGCTCAGGCTTCTGCCCGGACAGCCTAAGAGCAAGAACTGTCTTCAGCTGAGCCTGGGACAGCTGTGGGCAGTACAGGGCTGGCGAGTGAAAGGAAAGAGGATCAGCAGCCCCGTTCTGGCCACTCACTCGATGTCCATGTGGCACTGTCAGTTAGGCAGCTGGGTATGTAAGTACAGAGACCACAAGAGGTCTGGACTGGAGATACACTGGAAAATTCTAGCATACAGGTAGTGTTTAAAGCCAAGGAATCGAACAAGAGCACCCACTGAAGGAGTCGACACAGACAGGAAGGCAGAGACCCAGGGTGGAGTCCCAGAGCCCTCCAATACCAGGACGCCGGGAGAAGAGGGCAAAAGAAGCATAAGGTCCTGAAAGCCAAGTAAAGAGAGCCAACCGAAGGAAAAGAAGTCACCAGCTGTGCCAAAAGCTGATCTGCCAAGTAAAACAAGAACCAGGAACTGGATGTTCACACAGCAGTGGCCACCGGTGGCTCTGACAAGGACAGTGCTACAGTGTGGGGAGGCCCGCCCACAGGGGATTTCAGAGAAGGAAAGAAAGAGAGGTGGGGAAGGCAGAAGAGCAGAGGCTTGAGAAGTCCTGCTGCAAAGGAGAGCGGGAGACACGGCCGCTGGCAGAAACAGCGCAACGAACAAGGGGCACTTCAGAGAAGAGAACCCACGTCGATGTGCCGAGGGGAGTACTCTTGGAAGCGTGCAGAACGCAGTCACTGCAGGGCACAAAAAGGAAGAACTGCTAAAGGGACATTCTCAAGGAGGAAGAGGGGACAGGATCTAGTGCATGCGGGCAAGGCGGGAGGTAGATAACACCGCACGTAGGCAGGGCCTTGACAGACATTTGTCGAAAGAACAACATCTCTGGCTACTAAGACAGCCAGAGGCAGCGAGGAGAAGCGGCTGGCACTGGCGGGGGCTTAGCAGTTGGCGTGGGAGCTCAAGAGAGCATCCGTCAGATGGACGGTTTCTGCTTCTTCCGCTCTTACCCCTTTGCCACAAAGTCCCACTCGGCTCTCCTCTTGGACCAAGAGAAAGCACCCAAGTTTATTTCACTTCAAATCGGGACCATGGGAAGACAAAGGCCGTGGGTGGGGGAGGACACAGCGCCTACTCACCGTTCTCGTCCACTGCGAGCACGCTCGCCCCTTTCCCCAGGAGCTCCTGAACCACCATCGTCAGCCCGTTTCGGGCAGCAACATGCAGAGGTCTGGGGAAGAAATCACACATGTCCACGTCTGTGCGTGTGAAGCTGTCAGAGGCATCTGCCAAGTTGTGAAGACCCAGAGGTACAGACGTGAGGCCCTCAGTCCTGACAGCAATGATGGGCAGGACAGCAGCGCCCATGCTGTGCACCGTGACCTCGTCATCGCCGTGAGCTCAGTCACAGCCCTGTCAGCAGGTTCCTCCTGACAGACCTTTTGGTTACTTTCCTTCTAAGACTCAGTGTTGAAAAAGATTTGCTGGTGCGGTGGCTCATGCCTATAATCCCAGCACTTTGGGAGGCCGAGGCTAGAGGACTGCCTGAGCTCACGGGTTCAAGACCAGCCTGGGCGACTTGGTGAGACCTCATCTCTACAAAAAATAAAAATGTTAGCTAGGCGTGGTACTGTGGGCCTGTAGTTTTGGCTACTTGGAAGGCTGAGGTAAAAGGGTCGCTGAAGCCCACCAGGTCGAGGTTACAGTGGTCGTGAGTGGGTCCCTGCCCTCCAGCCTGGGTGACAGTGAGACTCCAACTCAAAAAAAACAAAGGGGGGTTGGCAAACTCATATTAAAAACTAACTCCAGCAGCACAGGTTCTAACAGGCTCTGAGAACAGCTTACAAGCCCCAGGACAGCTTTTTGGACCTTCAAGGGATCTGACTGACCCAAATGGGAACCAGTTTTCTAGGAGTTTTCTCTTGACCACGTCTTAGAGTGGAATAGCAAGTGAGGACGGGGAGAGGACACAGAGAGACACTGATCCCAGATCTCTGTTGGTCAGCCAGGAGGCCGGCTACTCACATCATGAAAAACTTAATTCTTTCCAAAACCCTGGAAGCTTACAGACACATACAGAGCTTCTTACCCCATCTATTGCAAGTGTCAAGTAACGTATCATTATAGTCGATTTCCACAAAACACACAGAATAGTACTACTTTCCTTCAGAGAATTATGTGGGTAAATGGTACCCTAACAAGCAGATTCAGAAAAAAATGAGTAAATAAAAATTTTGAAAAAGTACATGGGTAAATGTATTAAGAAAAAAGTTCAAAAGCTTTTAAAATCATGTTTTTTATTGTGATTTCAGAAATGTTTTGTCAGCTGTAAAATGGTTCTTTGCTTTTGAACTGCTTCTATGACTGAGACCTAGTTCAACAGTCACATGTTTAAGGAAAAAACCCCATGTATTATTTTTATAATGAGGTCACAAAAGTTTACACTGGACACGGAAAGTACTCACGTTTGCAAGGCTGCGTTGGTTGCATTGATGAGGTTTCTATCTGTTATCTTTTCCAGTATTAACAAGGCACTAGTTTCATGACCCTGAAATTATGGCAAATAACTCTTAAAAACTTGGGCACCATTAAATGTATACACCCAACAAGCCTTAACCCTAGTCCAATCAAAATGTCTAACACCTTACATATGCTGTAAGTTTTCCTGGGTAATACCTTAAAATATGTGTCCAAACATGGTTAGGAATGGGTGCATAGGGAAAGAACAAGAATTAAGATGAAAGAAAAATAGTAATTGTGTTTAGGTTTGTGTTCTGAAACTTTATTTGGCTTCTGGGAGACTTTATTTGGCTTCTGGGAGACGTTATGACACCACGATGTCTTGAAATGTTCATTCAAGAAAACTGCTGCCAATGGTCATTACAGCTTGGTTAGGATTTCTGTTCATTAAGTGAAGTTAAACCTTTTAATGCTACAGCTAATATTAACAATGAAAACATGCCCTTAAAATGTGCACAAACCTTGCTGCAAGCCAAGTGGAGGGCGGTGTTTTTACTGTTATCTTGTAAAGTCAGATCTGCACTAGCACTGCTGACCAGCATCTCTGGGAGGAAAAAGTGCGTCAATTCTTATGTGCATGAACTTGTTTCTTAGATTACCAATAACTCACTGTAGAGAAATGAAGATATAAAGCAAAAAAGACCCCTCTCACAAAAACTTAAGTGCAAGAGAAATACTGTAATACATAACATACATACTATACTGTCACACGATGGTGCAGAACAGTTACATTGCTTTTAAGTTGAGACACTAACAGTGGCAATTAGCATTGGTTCACTAAGTTCTGAATACTGTTTTCCGTGCTCCGGCTTTACAGTGACCTACTTAACCCTCCCAAAAGCCCTACCAAGAAGGTACTGCTGCGTCCTCACCGACGCATGAAGTAACGCAGCTGGAAGGCTCAGGACGGCACTCTGGTGCCCGGCTCTGGGGCCAGTGCTCTAGCTCTAGGCACTCTGCCTGGACCGACCCTCCCATCAGTAAGGGCACACCACACACTGTCCCCAAGTGAGATGTGGCCACAGGCAGGTCAAGGCTTCGAAGCTCAGGAGTGCTGAGGAAGTCAAAAGGTCTAGGATCCAAGCCATACCCGAGAGACACACATGCTTTGAAGACTTAACGCTTTAAAGAGGCCTCTTTACCAACTGTATTTGTCTGTCCGTTCTCTGCAGCCATCATAAGAGGTGTCTTCCCCGACGCGTCTGCAGAGTTGACTTGGGCATTATGGCTGAGGAGCAGCTGCAAACACTCCACGTGGTCCGTAAAGGCAGCCGCATGGAGAGGACCTCTGTGATGCGGAGAACGAGAAATGCGTGACCACCTCTGAGTGGCACACACTCTGGAGAAAACGACTCCTTGGTTTATGACAAGCAGCGCCCTCATACAAATAGGCTAACGCTAGTACAAAATAGAGATCAGCGAAAAACCGCTACAACATTCCATCATTGAGGGAAATTTTGAAAGCGGCGAATCCTGACCTGCATACTGCCGCCGATGACGGTTGCTGGGCCTCACTCTGGCCTTCACTCCTATTTAGTGACTTTGTTCACAATGATCTTTGGGTAACCAACTTAACTTCGTTAAAAAAGGGGGAAAATCCTGACAGTTTAAAATGGCTTTAAAAAGAGGAAGACTGCCTAAAACCCACAAATTAACAGAACAGACTTTTATAATGCAAAAATAAGATTTTATAACAACTTATTCTTGCAGATAAAAAAACCCAATTTCAGTAATGGGTTTTCTATAAATTCTCGCACACTAGGCTAGTAGTTAAACTTTGTCTTATTGAAAGTAAAATGATGTTTTTCCCCCTTTTTCTTGGAGACAGGATGCCAAGGCTGGAGTGCAGTGGCATGATAACTCTTTACAGCCTCAACCTGGGCTCAAGTGATCCTCCCGCACAGCTGAGGCCACAGGCACACACCTCTATGTCTGGTTTATTGATTCTTTGGTAGCCATGGGGCCTGGTCTTAAACGCCTGGCTTTAAGCAATCATCCCGCCCTGAACTCCTAGAATGCTGGGGTTATAGGCATGACCACTGCGCCTGGTCTAAAACTGTTTCCTCTGCAGTTGATCCCCTACCTTCCTTTTGAATCTGTGGCGTTCACGATGCCAGCACCCAGCGTATCGATCAACATCTCAGCAGCACCTTCGTTGTCATTTATCCTGTGTAAGGTAACAAGGCAATCACTCTCACAGCAATGGTGTCTTTCTTAGAACACTCAAATCCAGTTGAATTCATTCTGGCTTTACTTACACGGCACAATGCAATGGACTAAAAGCATTCCCTTCCGTTTTCTGGAAAACTTCCTGTTCTAAAAGAAGTTCTACACATGTCTCGTGACCTTAAATAGGTATAAAGAACCAGATATTAAAATCCCAAATATTGGCAAAAATCACAGATACACATAAGTGTTTAAAGGTAAAATGTGCAAGCCCTGCCCCATCCCTTCTCCCAGTTCCAGCTTAATTGTTCCAGAAAATTTCTAGGCATGTCCTACTGCACAGACACAAACACATAAAATCAGCGGGCTCTGCATCCACGGATTCAACCAAACGCAAAGCGAAAAAAATGGATGTTTGCTGCATCGGCACTGAACACGAAGACCTTTTTCCTTGTCATTATTCCTTCAACAATGCAGACTAATAACTATTTATATAACTTCTACACTGTGCTAATACTAGGTATAAGTATCCAGGAGGTTGTGTATAGGTTTGTGCAGATACCACATGACTGTATATAAGGAATTTGAGCCTCTGTGGATTTTGGTATCCTCTGGGGTGGGGGTTTTGGAACCAATTCTCCAGAGAGAACAAAAGATGACTGTACTTTCTTTTTAAAAAATGTTTTCTGCAACTTGCTTTTTACTTAATAAATTGTATACATCCTTCCATAATAGCATATGGAGAAATCTTACTCGGTAATGTTCCAAGAGCTTCACAGTATCAAAGTGTATCATAGACGAATGCACCTCTCTAGTTATGGATTTTTAGGTGCCTGCTAGTTTTAAAAAAATCTTTATATTATCATCAACAATGCTGCAATGAAGCACTCGGGCACTTTTTTTTTTTGAGTTGGAATCTCACTCTGTTGCTCCGGCTGGAGGTTCGTGGCACGCTCACGGCCACTGCAGCCTCGACCTGCTGGGCTCAGGTGATCCTTCCGCCTTAGTCTTTCAAGTAGGTGGAACGGACAGGCACGTGCCACCACACCTGGCTAATTTTTTTATTTATTGTAGACGATGTCTCGCCAAGCTGCCCAGGCTGGTCTCAAACCCCTGGGGCTCAAGCAATCTTCTTACCTCGGCCTCCCAAAGTGCTCGGATTACAGGCATGAGCCACTATGCCCGGCCCTGGTACTTTTTTTTAACAAGTATTTTGGTTGCTGTGCGAAGGACAAGCAAGTGTGCAGTCCTCCTGTGGAATACATGGGGGACTAGGGCCAGGGCTTCTCCGTGAACGCTCATGTCTCTTGCACAAATGGCTTGCTGGCACACAACATCTTCTTGTATCGTCTAAAGAACCTCTAGGTCACTCATAGTGTGTAACATCAAGCAAGCGCTACGTACAGAGTTGCATCATTCAGGAAAGGATGAGGAGGAAAGTCGTCTGTGTGTGTTCAGTGGAGATGCTCCACCGGAGGCTTAACCCTACTTCTGAGTCACAGTTGGGCGAATCCACGGAGACCAACGGCCGACAGTGCCGGCTCCTGACAGAGATCAGGCCCACAGGTTCTCACAGCAACATCAGAAATAGGAAGGACTCACACCTCAGATTTCCTGAACCTAATTTTCAAAGCCAAGATTTTAGCTTAACAAAAATTCCCTAATTGCTGCAAATAAAATAATGCTTCTTCTACCAGTCATTTGGGATCTGATTTAGGAATAAGTCAGATTCTTATATGGCCCCTTTATTTTCATAGCTTAATATTTGCCTAAGAAAGTGATGCTGGGCCATTGCCTTACTAGACTCTGGTGGGGCCATGGGCCCTTTTTTTTTTTTTGAGTTGGGAGTCTCACTCTGTCACCCAGGCTGGAGTGCAGTCCTGCTGGGCTCCGGCCATCCTTTCATCTCAGCCTTCCAAGTAGCCAGAACTACAGGTGCACGCTCCCACGCCTGGCTAATTTTTGATTTACTGTAGAGACAAGGTCTCGCCAAGTTGCCCGGCCTAGTCTCGAACCCGCAGTCTCAGGCAATCTACTCGTTTAGGCCTCTCAAAGTGCTGGGATGACAGGCTGAGCCACCAAGCTCGAACTTTTTTTTTTTAAGCTGTGGCCGCATACTGTTGCCCAGGCTGGAGTGCAGTGGCACAACCACAGATCACTGCAGCCTTGATCTCCTGGGCTCAGGTGATCCTTCTGCCTCAGCCTCCCAAGTAGCTGGGATTACAGGTGCATGCCACTACACTCAGCTAATTTTTTAATATTTTTGTAAAGATGAGCTCTTATTATGTTGCTCAGACTGGTCTTGGAATCCTGGGCTCATGCACTCCTCCTGCCTCAGCCTCCCCACCTGCTGGGATTATAGGTGTGGGCCACTGGGCCTGGCCTATGTCTTCTTTTCTAATTACGCTAACATTCCCAAACAATAGCTCAACTTAAACTTTATCCTATAATTGTGGAAAAAAAGTGCTTTTTAGAAATTTATAGTCGTGTTCCATCTTTTGCCAGATCCTTTCTATAATCCAGTGGTTGTCACACGGATTCCTGCCCATTGGGAGATACTGTATGTGATGGTGTCTGCAGACATCTTTATTCATCACAATCGCAGGAGGGGAAGTCCTTGGGCATCTAGGGGCAGAGGCAGCAGTGCTGCTGGACAGCCCACAAAGCGCAGGAGAGCCTTTATGACCAACAAGGTCCTGGCTCAACTGTCAACAGTGCTGAGGCTAAGAAACTCTGCCTTAACTCCATCTCCCCAAATGCTGATGCACTACTAAGAAACAACAAGAGAAAACCGCCCATTCATTCAAGAGCTTCTCGGTCTCCTGGCATCTTAAGGTGTGGCGACACAAGAGCCTGACTACGCTCCTAAGCCAGCCAGGAGAGAGGTGTGCCGCCCTTCTCACTAAATGAAGTGTGAGAAAACAGTCGTTTTTCATAAAAAGCTATTTATGTTAACACCTACAACAGCACTCTGTATCATAGTTCACGAAGGACAGATGATGAAACTGGTCCGCTATTGACGTTTTAAAGATCCTGAGGATATTCAGAGCTTCATAAAAATTGATACTTTTTTAAAAGAGCAAGTTAGATAAGCATTCTTAAGTTCTGTGATGGAACGACTGTACAGTGAAACTGAGGACTTTAAGTTTAGTATGCAGAGCCAGTCTTTTCCTAAGACATGGCCATCATTTCATTTTGGGAGAAAGGATTTTTTTTTTTTTTTTGAGTTGGAGTCTCCCTCTGTCGCCCAGACTGGAGTGC